GATATAACAACTGTGGCCGGTTATGTTGTGACATTTCTACACGAGACGCCACCCATCTGTTACCAAAAAGCGCAACAAAAAAAGGGAGGAGGGGCCAGCCATGTTCTCGGCCGTGTCTTTCTTTGATTTTGGAAACAAAACACAAAAAAATATCTGTTTCACTTTCTGTATGTTGCAGGAACCAAGACAAAAGACGCTGGTAATTACACGCAAGGTAGGGCCAGACCCACAGCGGGTCCAACAAGACTCAGCCAGGCTGCGACATAGTTGTCTATGCCGATTTGCACAACGCCGCTTCTATCATTCGAGGAAGGTGCAACTACCGCCCGCAGTAGAGCAGCAGTATGACAAGGATGTAAATACAGGTAGGGGTGGCCTAGCACTGGGTGTTCCTGGATGCCTAATGCCCCGCCAAAATCCACAGCAGCCATTGCACCACGTACCACATTGTCGGTGACCAGCAAATCAACTACACGTCCCACATCCAAAACTACCTCCATATTACCAGTCTCGTCTAGCTGACACGCACGCACATACACCACTGGTACCCGCCATGTGCGCGAATAGACTATGTGGTATTCTACATATCCACCACTCTCTTTAGTGGCGCTTTCAGATAGGTAAATATCCTGCAGCGGATCGACATCCTCTAGCTCTATCCCTGCATTGTCTACCGAAAGACTAATGTTATTAAGGTACCTATTTTGTTTTGAAAGCAGTGGCCTGCGTAGCTGCAAATACTGCTGCCATGCTGAGCGACCTCGAATAACTATGTTGGTATCAGTAACACCGCGCTCTATTAGTGGCGTTGCATACTGTTCCACAAAGCGCTCAATACATTGGACAAATTCGTCTTGCGTCAGATATGGAAAGTCGGTTAGTGTTCCAACATTGTTGGGCATTGTTTGGGAACGCTGTGAAATAAATTCATAACCACGAAACAAACAAAAAAAAAAACTATCCAAATATCCAAAGCACGTATAAAAGTAAGAACCTTTTGTAGCTACTTACACAAGTGAAGTTGTGCAAAAAAGTTTAGACCCACACAAGTAAACACGGCTCGTCCTAATTAATCGGCTCGAGCTGGTGGCTCGTTTTTTGCCATACCAAAGCGGATCCAACAAAACGACAGCTATGGCAGAGTTTCAGTAAAGTTCCGCCTTTTTTCGTCGCTAAGCGCTGGTATAAAAACAATTACAGGTGCGTAAAGTATATACTATTATTTTCACGCATCCAGTCCACACACACGCGCATAGAGAGCCAGATACACATGATAAACGCAGGATTCCGAGAAAAGGTTGAATTAATAAAGGCGCATCCAACGCAGTTTGAGGAGCGAATCCATGGCCAAAAATAAAATCTGACGGTGTCAATGGATGCGAGTTGTCCGAGTTTACACGTACAGCTTATGATGGACGTGGTAACAGCGTTGGAAGGGCAAAAAAGAACTTTGAATTTGATACTCTACTTAAAGTGGATTCGCGTGGATTTGCTATTTTTGAACGTAGACAGAGAATCTTTATGCTTTTTTCCATGTTGAAAGCATAGGAATTCGTCTAGCGTAATTTATTCAGTGGTTTGTGTGTGTGGGCTTGAGCGTGCTTGTACAGCAGATTCACAAAC